CTTCCTCCCCCCTCCCCCGCAGTACTTGTGAAGTATAAAACACGTTCCTCGGAGTTTAAATAGCATATATACATTTAAACACACCCACCCACCCACGCACACACACGCACACACACACACACACACACACACACACACCGAACACACACAAACACACACACACACACGCATGCCCGTTTGTATACTCGAATAACGCCCGCTCTCCCCTTATTCCCCACCCCTCTGGAGAGGGCATAGGTTCATAATGCACATCCTTGGCCCATAGTAATCCAACATCGGGGTCCCATTATGCCTGCCTCGAGTCCCGACCTCTATACACTGCCAAACTAGGCTACCAGAGTGGCCTGGGACCACTTGCCCGGCCAGGCCAAAAAAAACAAACAAACTATTTTTTATTTTAATTTTTATTTTGCATTTGGCAACGAATTTCGATGTGACCCTGAGGCAAAAGTTGCTCAGTTTATTTTTCTGCATAACATAGTTTTCTTTCGTTTTTTTTTAGGTTTTTTTTTTTTTTTTTTTTTTGCTGGGACCTTCCCTGGTCCTTGCACGGCCGGGCCGCACGGGAAAACAAAGTGACCCGGACGGTCCGGATGGTAGCCTAGCTGCCAACATCAATATAAAGAGATTTCCAATTTGACATCCATCCCCGAGCATTGTGACCCTTCTTTTCTTTTTTCTTTTCTTTTTTCTTTTCTTTTTCTTGTGGTCCTCAGTTTTCACACCACACAGGCCCTTTCTATTCTTAGGGGCAGCAGCCGCCGAGTATAGCCCCTCCCTCCAGTAATACCACCCTGCAAGAGGGCGGGTGGAGAAAATAAAGCCGAGGAGGAGGAGGAGGAGGAGGAGGAGGAGGAGGACGACGAGGAGGAGGAGGCAGCAGTCTCAGTTCTCACTGTTATTTCAATGAAGCTTCACGTTTGCAGCCGAGGATCATTCACTGTGACAAGACTCGGACATAAGAGTTGAGGGAGTCGACGCATCATCCATTGCTTCGTCAAAAAAAAAAAAGGAGAGAGAGAGAGAGAGATGGCGATTACATCATCAGACCTTTCCCAACTCTTAAACCCTGCCGTGTTATTAAACAAAAAAAACAAAAAACAAAAAACAGACGACTCACCAAAATCCTAAGCGGGCAATTCTCTCTGCTGTGCGTAGTCCCTCCATTGATGGGAGAGAAGATGTCCCGTGGAGATAACCATTTAGCGATTGGGACCACATTATCCTTCTGGCGACTGGGACAATGATCGCTGCCTGGGACAAGTTCAGTGCCACAAGTTCCACAACATACCTGATGACACATTTTATTTACCCTTTTAGAAGAAAGTAAAAAAAAAAAAGGGGACGGGAGGGGGGGGGAATGGGTATATGCCATTTTTGGTAAGAAAAGTCGAAGAGCAATTGATTCGGCAGACAAGTCAAAGAGGAAAAAACAAGAACACATGCAGTGCACATTATTATTTATATATTTATATTGTATAATAATTGCTGCTGTCCAAGCGAAAAAACTATTATTACTTAAATTTTAAAATGGGTAGTTCCTTCGTTGGAAGCATTTTCTGTCAAAATTTTGCCATTTTTTTGCCAAAATTTTGCCAATTTTTTGCCAATTTTTTGCCAATTTTTTGCCAACTTTTTGCCAAACTTTTGCCATTTTTTTGCCAATTTTTTGCTTGTTAGGGTTCGATTTTTCGTAAAGCACCGACGTTTTGACAAACAAGGGGAAAAAAAATGAAGCAGACGTGCTGCACTCTCCTCCTCCCGGCCGGCCGAAAAGGTCTTACAAGCAAAGAGAGAGGATTGGGAAAAAAGAAAAAAGAAGGATTGGATTAAGCGCCAGGATCTGGATGGGTTTTGAGAAGAAATGCAGATCAATTCGCCATTTTCTGCACCACTCCACAAACACGTCCACATTCAGCCGTTAAATACAATCCTCTTTGCTTCTACTATTGGGGGCTCTGAGCATTATGGCACCATGGCCTCTTCCTTTCTTTCTTTCTTTCCTTCTTTCCTTCTTTCCTTCTTTCCTTTTTCTTTCCTTTTCCCTCCTTTTTCCTTTCCTTTTTTTTTTCCTTTCTTTTTTCCCTTCCATCTTTCTTCCCTCTTTCTTTTTCTCTCCCTTTTGTTTCCTTTCACTCGTTTTCCTTTCTGTTTCTCTCTTCATTTCTTTCTTTCTTTTCTTTCGTTCTACCAGGTTCCTTTTCCCTGCCTTCCTCCCCTCCCCCCCTTCCCTTTCTTTGTTTCTTTCGTTATTTCTTTTTCGTTCGTTTTCTTAATATTTTTTCCCTCCCTTTTTCTCGCTTTTGCTTTCTTTTTACCTTTCTTTACGATGCCTTGACTCCCTCCCTCCCTCCTTTCATTTTTTCCATTCTTCCAACTTTATCTATGTTTCTCTTTTTCGCTTCGTTCTTTGACTTTCTTTCGGCCTTCCTTTCTCTTCATCTCTTTCTTTTTTTCTTTCTTTCTTTCTTTCTTTTTTTTTTCTTTTCTTCTTTTGCTTGCCAGGCTGCCTTTTTTTTTTGCGTCCCGGGAAAAATGTGCACATTTTGTATTGAACGGGCCAACTGCCGAATGCAGACAAAGCAAAGCAAAGCAAAGCAAAGCAAGGGAACGGCATGCAGGGGTCACCGCCTCTCACGTCGAGGGTTCGCCTGGCCTACGAAACACAATCCACCTGTCTTTTTCTTTCCTTCTTTCTGTCTTTCTTTCTTTTTTTCTTCCTTCCTTTTTTTCTTCCTTCCATTCTTTCTTCCTCTCTTCCTTCCTTGCATTTTTCCTTCCATTCTTTCTTCCTTGCTTTCTTCCTCTCTTGCTGCTCGTCTTTCTTCCTTTCCTGGTTGATTAAAGAGGAAACGATGAAAGAGGCTGAAGGAAGATCAGGGAGGATAAGAGACAAGAAGGTAAGATAACAGAGGATAAGGTAATAAGATGAGAGAGTGATAAGGGGGGAGGACAAGGAAAGACGAGGGAGGATAAGGGAGGATAGGGGAGGATAAGGGGAGGATAAGGGAAAGTGAGGGAGGAGGAGGGAGGGGGAGGGAGGAGGGAGGGAGGAGAAAGGAGGATGAGGGAGGATGGAGGATGAGGGAGGGTGAGAGAGGATAAGGTAAGAAGAAGAATCNCCTCCTCCCCCTCCCTCCTCCTCCTCCTGTCACTTCCCACCATCTCGAACCACTGCCGCCGACTGTAGAAACAGTTGGAACTCAATGTAAGGAGGCAGGTGGGAGGAGGAGGGAGGAGGAGGGAGGAGGAGGAGGGAGGAGGAGGAGGGAGGAGGAAGAGGGAGGAGGAGGGAGGAGGAAGAGGGAGGGAGAACGAGGAGAAGGGAGAAGGAAGAGGAGGGAGGATGAGGGAGGATGAGGGAGGATGAGGGGGGAGGAAGTTTCCTTAGTCACATGGCTAATGATCTACGTACCGTCCGTTCTGAGCAAGAACGGATGCAATGATTGGACCGACTGATCCACATGTCAATGTGAAAGTGACGGAGGGATCGACACGTGGCGAGTGACGGGAGGAGGTCTGCAAAAACTCACCGTGGTTCGGGTTCCAACCCTCTGCAGGGTAGTCCTTAGACTCGCGCTGGCGGTGCCCATTCGCATTACCTGCTGTAAGGGTCTCCCCCTTCTCCTTCTTCTCCTCCTCCTCCTCCTCCTCCTCCTCCTCAACCGGCATTACCATGGAATCGCGCTCTGCTGGAGAGACGCCCGCACATCTGCATTCCGTACAGCTGCCATTTTTTGGCGGGAAGAGTGCGTTCATCCCATTTCCCGCCACCAGACTAATTCCGACCTCCGCGCCACCGTACAAGCCCCCCCAACTGCCGCCTGGCAATCCAGATAACCTTATTCCCGCTCCTTCCGTCGCGCCCATTGACGCCGCTATCTCATACCTCTCTGTCATCGCTCTTCCACTGGACATTGAAATGGGAGAACGAGGGGGTAGGAGGGCATTTCCCCACCCTCCCCTGATCCTCGTCCTTTCGGTCACCGAGAGGCCGCCCTTCTCAACAACGTCCTCCCTACTCAAGGAGCAATCAAGCGCAAAGTCAGATGAGAGATAGGAGGAGGAAGTGGAGGGGATGGGAGTCAAGGAAGTGCTGGAGAGAGAGGAGGAGGAGGAGGAGGAGGAGGAACAAGACAAGGACCTCATCACCCTGCTTCTTTGACAGCACGCCAGTGTTGTTCTGCTGACGTGGCATTGCTGCGGACGATCGATTGCAATGCAATGGTCCAAAGTGTTACGCGGTAAATTGCTTACTAGAGTGCCACGTGGCATTTTTCTCGATGACGTCATCCTCGTCGGTGATAGCTTTCTTTCCCGCCTTTTCCGTGCCTCTCTATTGATCCCCCCCGCTTTGTGATGGCTGCTTTCTTTCCCGCCTTTTCTGCTTAAGGCACAACAACCAAGCGTCGGAGAAGTAGGGGTACAACACCCCCCCATTGTGTATTTGGTCTGGTGATGACAACCCCCTACTCCTCTCATCCCTAACCCAGCCGCCATAACTACTACCCCTCCTCCTTCTCCTTGACACTTCAACATTTGTGGACGCTTAGTCGCCGTTCCACTGCCCCGCGCAGCTGCGGCTCCAGCTTGAGCTTCCCAACGGCTTGCCCTTCTTCCCGCCACCGCCTCTTCTCCTACACCGCATGCGAGGCTAGAACAGCGCGCCAACATCGTCGAATGATCAGCCTGCATGCACCCGCCAACGCAAACCCTCTCCATCTCTCTCTCTCTCTCTCTCTCTCTCTCTCTCTCTCTCTCTCTCTCTCTCTCTCTCTCTCTCTCTCT